CAATTGGCTTCTGAAATCTCGGGCAGCTCTGGCTTCCGGAAGACTGTATGTGTTCCCTGGTAGAGGTAGCCTGGCCCCAGGTGATTAGGATCAGATAGAGCAGTGCTGTGTGTGCGGTTGGTGACCAAAGAGGAACAAGCCCTGGAGTTTGACATCTATGCATGCATACAGAAAACTGACTTCCAGGAGAGGCTAATCTGTTCCTTGTCTCAGGACATGTGCTCTGGGACCATCAGAGTTCTACACAACCCTAACATTCAAGAGCGGAGTCATCACAGGACTTTTCTCCTTTATCCCCATTTCGAACTACAAAACTTGTGGTGTAGAATGCCTCACATGGGCACTGACAAAGTTATGCTTGACAAAGGGATCCAAATGTGTTAAACGACGCACCAGAGGTAAAGGTCAGAGGAACACCAACAGGGACTATACGTGAACATTGTCCAAGTCTCTTAGAGGAAGCCCCTGTTTCATTTTTAAAGAAAAAAAACAGATCCACTTTTGTCAAGTGTTCTCTGACTCTGAGTGAACCCTCTACAGGGTTCCTGAGACTTTAAATCTCTCCAAGAGCAGACAGTCTCATCTCTCTCCAAAGGAGCAGCTGGTGGGTTTGAACCTCCAACCTTGCAGTTAGCAGTTAAAGGCTTAGCCCACACCACCAGCAGCGCTCCTTCCATAGTTCATTAGATAGCACTGCATGCTAAGTAAAGATCAGGGATTTCTACCTTCAATATAGGGTTATTCAATTACAGTGCATTATAGTTTGATTTAATGAAAAGAAAACAAAGTCCTCACACTGGAACAATAGGTAATATTGTAACAGCAAAACTGTGACTTGAGAATGACCAGGCGGCATTCTTGGAGAACCCAAAAGAGGAAAAATGTATGAGTCCGTGACCCAGAATGTCGGGTGGACATCGCTTTTCTACTTTATCTGCACGAGTAAGGTCACAGAAGCAGAATAGTCCGGGGTTTAGTGCAGACGTAATCATCAGTAAAGGAGGAAGAGGGTGCGGGGATCAGTGTGCTCTGAGAATGAAGAAGTACCTGGGGTGAGGCAGGGCGTTGGGTTTCTTTTCCAAAGGTTAACATTCCCTATTAGGATTTTCCTTACAAGATCATGACACACATATAAAAGCTTAATGCTATCAAGGATTTCATCTTGCTTGGATCCACAATCAATGCCCACGGCAGCGGCAGTTGAGAGATCAAAGGACACATTGCATGGGGTAAATTTTCCGCAAAATATTGATGAGCCAAGATCTCACTTTGAGGACTAATGTGCACCTGACCCAAGCCATACTATTTTCAACGGCCTCATGTGCCTGTGACAGTTGGATACTAAGGAAGACCATCTGAATGATGGTGAAGAATAATGGAAAAGCCACGAACTGCCAAAAGAACAAACAAATCTGTCTGGGAAGAAGCAGAGCCAGAATGTTCCTTAGCAGAAACAATGGTGAGACCTCCTCCCACATCCTGCAGCTATGTTGTCAGGAGCGAGCAGTCCTCGGAGAAGGACGTCATGCTCGGTAAACTAGAGCGGCAGCACAAAAGAGGGAGGCCCTTCATGGGACGGACTGACACGGGGGCCGCATCAATGGGCTCAAACGTGATAACAGTGGTGGGGATGGCGCAGGACTGGCAGCATTTCTGTCTGCTGTACGGAGCAGCAGTGAGGGCTCCGCTCAGCCCTAACAACTACATGGTAAATCATTTTGCACACGGCAAGTGTTGAATGGGCTTAGCGAGTGATTGATTAAAGAACCATATTTAAAACAATCTCTGAGATGGGGATCTTGGGAGTTGACCCCAATATATCTAGAACTTCTTCACGTTTTTAAAGAAAAAGACTCCCATGTCGAGGAATGGAATACAGACCCACAGCCACACCGTTGTGCCTGACGGAACTCAGTGTGGGTGCAAGTTAAGACCAACATTCAATGCAGCACAAAGCGGGACTCACAATGATTAAACATTCGTTTTACAGATGAAGGCGCACTAGCGGCACAGTGGGTTAAGCATCTCAAAGTCGACGGTTCAAACCCACCAACTGGAGAAAGATGAGCATGCCCGCTCCCTCCCCATAAAGATTTACAGACACCTCGCTGAGGGTGTCAGAGAACCAGACCCGACTCCAGGGTCGTGGGGGAGATCACACTGCAAAGGTCACCTGGCTGACCCAGCAGGCCCTGCTGCCTCCTGGGAGAAGAGCAAGCAATCTTAGATAACTTCCGTCTCCCTACAAAACACAAAGCCTGCCCTCCCACCCCTGGAGTCTGCAACCGACCCCCCCCTCCACCAGGATTCCCTCCGACCCCGCGCCCCTGGCCCACGGTCTCATCACCTTTCAAGCCTCATCACCTTTCAAGCCTGCCTCACACTAGTACCACGGATGCCCCAAGCCTCGTTGCCCGGGTAACACGTGGCCCTGGCCCCCTGGGGCGGGGCCCTGAGCCGATGGGGGCGTAGCCACACCTGCCGCATCCTCATAATGAGCTGCCGGTGACCTGGGAGAAACCTTGCTCCTGGTGCCAAAGGGACGCTTGGCCCGAGGGCTCAGGACGAGGCCGGGCGAGGTGGCCGGAGGGCAGACGAGGCACGGGTACAGGTCGGCCGGGCCGCGTGCCCCGTCCGCGCAGCAGGCATTGCGTTCCTCGCGGGGCCTCGGGCGGGCGCAGGCCCGAGGGTGCGGCTTCCTGCTGTGCGCCCCCGCCCCCCGTCTGTCGTCGTTGGCTGTTGCACCCACCCCTGCAAAACAGCTGCCCCTCTGTAGGGTGGGACAGACCCCAGGACGTCGGTTATGGCCAAGACGGGCTCAGAACTTTGACCCCTGGCGTTGGCAACGACAGAACGAACCG